CGCATTTCGGCGCACCCCTCAAACGGCTCGTGGCCCCATAGGGAGCGCCACCGAAGAAGATATTCACAACTGCGGTACTCTCAACTGCATATGGTTGGGTCCTTCGCCAGGCTAATTTGTTGTTGCTGTTTTTCCCAACCATCCTGTGGTGTTGGGTCCTCGTTTTGAAGAGACGGTGCCCCGCGTCTCCTTCCTTCCTCCTTCCTCCTCCTCCGCCTCCTCTCCCTCCTCCCCCTCTTCCTTGCGTTTCACCCGCCCAGTACAGCGCTTCGTAGCCCCATAGGGAGCTCCGCCGAAGGCCCCATGGCTGCCGTCCGCATGCGTCCCGCACACCCATTTCGGCACACCCCTCACACGTTTCGTGGCCCCACAGGGAGCTCCACCGAAGGCCCCAGCGCTGCCGTCCGCATGCGTCCCGCACACCCATTTCGGCACACCCTTCACACGTTTCGTGGCCCCACAGGGAGCTCCACCGAAGGCCCATGGCTGCCGTCCGCATGCGTCCCGCACACCCATTTCGGCACACCCCTCACACGTTTCGTGGCCCCACAGGGAGCTCCACCGAAGGCCCCAGTGCTGCCGTCCGCAAGCGTCCCGCACACACATTTCGGCACACCCCTCACACGTTTCGTGGCCCCACAGGGAGCTCCACCGAAGGCCCCAGTGCTGCCGTCCGCATGCGTCCCGCACACCCATTTCGGCACACCCCTCACACGTTTCGTGGCCCCACAGGGGGGGGGAGCTCCATCGAAGGCCCCAGTGCTGCCGCCCGCATGCGTCCCGCACACCCATTTCGGCACACCACTCACGCGTTCGTGGCCCCACAAGGAGCTCCGCCGAAGGTCCCAGTGGGTGTGCCCGCATGCGTCCCGCACACCCATTTCGGACCACCCCTCACACGTTTCGTGGCCCCATAGGGAGCTCCACCGAAGGTCCCAGTGGGTGTGCCCGCATGCGTCCCGCACACCCATTTCGGCACACGACCTCACACGTTTCCGTGGCCCCCCATGGGGGAGCTCCTACCGAAGGCCCCAAGTGCTGCCGTCAGCAATTGCGTCCCGCACACCCCTGTTAGGTCGCACACCCCTTCACACGTTTCGTGGCCCCACACAGGGAAGCTCCAACCGGGCTCCCAATGCTGCGTCCCAGCGTCCCGCACACTGTCCCATTTCGGCACACCCCTCACACGTTTCGTGGCCCCATAGGGAGCTCCACCGAAGGCCCCATGGCTGCCGTCCGCATGCGTCCCGCACACCCATTTCGGCACACCCTCACACGTTTCGTGGCCCCACAGGGAGCTCCACCGAAGGCCCCAGTGCTGCCGTCCGCATGCGTCCCGCACACCCATTTCGGCACACCCCTCACACGTTTCGTGGCCCCATAGGGAGCTCCACCGAAGGCCCCATTGCTGCCGTCAGCATGCGTCCCGCACACCCATTTCGGCACACCCCTCACACACGACGTTTCGTGGCCCCACAGGGAGCTCCACCGAAGGCCCCAGTGCTGCCGTCCGCATGCGTCCCGCACACCAGGTGTGTGGCGTGTGCCGACATGGGCGTCGCGGCGCGCGGGCGCTGCCGTAGGGGTTCCCAGGGAAGCCCCCTGCAGAGGCGACGCTCAGAGTCACGAGTACCGAGAGTCACGCAGACCCAAACTGTTCACAGTCGTATACATACATTTACACTGGGCGTATCCATGCACGCATTCATGCGAATAGAATCAATCGCGCGCAGATTCATTCATAATCAGACTCGCTCGCGATCCGACTCGCACGCGCTCAAGCTTTCATATTCGGACCTATCGTCTTCGTTCGTGTTGTGTACACTGCCACGCATTTCGGCACACCCCTCATACGGCTCGTGGCCCCATAGGGAGCGCCACCGAAGAAGATATTCACAATTGCGGTACTCTCAACTGCATATGGTTGGGTCCTTCGCCAGGCTAATTTTTGTGACGCCCACACACTGATTAATTCGGCTCCTTCGGGAAATATACAGATTACAATGCTTTTTTCACATCATTTCGGGTTCCTTGCCTCACGAAAGGCGGTATCCTCCTGCCCCCTCCCCCCCGGCTCGTGGGGGCTTCTCACAAGCACTGCACTGAATCCATACGGCAGACGAGCAACAACAAACATGAAACAAGCAAACGCAAACAGACAACTGCAAGCATGCCACACAGAATTCAAAGCAGAGAAAAAAGACACAGGCGACCAAACACTT